CCAGGTTTCCATCTAGATGCCCCGAAGCCTCGTGTGCGCATCGGTGGGGCTGGTGGGAGGTGGCTGGATCACGGTGGCCGATACCCACCAGTGTGAATTACGAGTTTAGAGCTACATGTGAGGTGGTGAGTCCTGGGGGCGTGGCCCGGGAGGGTCGACCTCCTCCCTCCTCTCTTGATTGCTCTCCGCTTCCCCTCTGCCACATCCCCTGTCTTGGAGCCCACTGAACCCTCTACAAACTGTGAGCTACATAAACATCCTCTCCTTAGAGCTGCGGGTGTCAGGTGTTGTGTCTCAGCAAGAAGAAAGTGACTGAGACACAGACATTCTCTAAATACTGGTTCCACATTCACTTACAGGAAGGGCTGAGCTCCCCAAAAGGCAAAAGTGGAGGAGAAATGGGGTCCAAGGACAGCATCAGGCTCCGTCTTTCTTGTCCCCAGCACTGGGACCCCTCTGGGGTGAGGCAGTTGCAGGAGCTGCTCGCCTCCTGGTAGCAGGAAGCAAAGAGGAAGAGGAGGGACTGAACTTCCTCCCCCAGAGGGCCGGTGACCTCACTTCCTCCCTAAGCACCGCCCCTCAAAGTCCCCACCATTTCCCAGTAGGGCCACAGGCTGAAGACCTAGCCTCCACACACGGGCTGGGGGACATTAAACCCATGCGGCAGTGCTAAACACTGCTTACAAAGCAGCTAAAGTTTGGGAGGCAGACACTTCAGACAGGAGAGAGGAGGGGACATCGGTGGATCATTTGAAACCTTCTCTTGGCAGACAGTTTCTAGCCAGGCTCTTGACTTCCCCATGTTGCCACCCCACACCCCCATTCCTATGAAACAGCAAGAGCCGAAGACAGTGCTGAGGGCCCAGCCACACCCAGCCACACAGCCAGTCAGCTCCCGGCCAGCAGCCTGGAAGTGTGCGCTGACCAGCCCGTCTGTATGACCAGTCAGTCCTGGAGCAGAGGAGGTGGTAACAAAATGTACCCACAGAAAATAACAGATGGCTCTTTTTGTCTGCTGAAGTAAACACAGTGTGAAGATGGTTCCTTTCTGAGAAATAAGTGTGGGATTTGCCATGGCAGAAGATACATGACCAATACGCAGAGCTTGGAGGCTGCCAGAGATCTCCACGCCTAGGCTCGCCGCTCACCCTCCCAGGGGCCTCTGACAGCAGTCTCTTCCCTGTGGTCCTATCAGAAGGGTAAATGAAATAACGCAAGAGAAACACCTCTCACAACGCTTGGGAGTCACAGGTACTCACTGTCTAGTTCCCTGTTGCTCTCAGAATGAGGAAACTATTCAAATATCAACCGTGCCATGACTCAGGAGAGCACAAAGCAGTCTGCTTCTGGGGACACCACGTAGCGGAGGTGACCACCATGCCTTGAGCATGCACTCTTTTATCCCCACTCCGGGGCACGCACACCACCCCACCCTGTTGTAATTGGGCTTGGCAACATGACTGGCAACATGACTGGCCTTCTGTCTCTGCAACTGAGTTCTAATTAGGACAAAATGCAGGTAAATGGAGTTGCATCTTAAAGAGCTTTCTAATGGCTGGAGACTTTCGGCGTTCACCTCACACACTGATAACCTGAAAGGAGTTATCAGAAGCATCCAGTTTGGAAGATGCCTGCTACCCTTGACTTTGGACTTGGCCATGTGACTTGCTTTGGCCAGTGGATGTTGGCAGAAAAGCCACAAAAGAGGCTTGAAATGCTTCACAGGGTGGGGCCTGTCTGCTCACATTTCGGCATTCAGGATAAGGGCACATCCCGGGAAGGCCGCTGGTCCAAGGAGCAGCCCCACACCTCACAGGCAACTGACACTTGAGCCCAACTTGGCCCAGCCAGAATGAGCAAAGCTCCCAAGACACCCTGCAGATGCACAAGCAAACACATGTTGCTCTTTGAGACCCTGAGTGCTGGGATCGTTTACTGTGCAAGCGTTACTGTGGCCAGAGCTACACTCTGAAACATTCATTTTATCTCCTTACATTTATCCCCACGTGTGGAATGAACTGATGAGTATCAAAAAGTGATACATCCATCCAAAAGATGTGCCGACGAGCTCTTAAGCTACTTGTGTGTGACATTTCACATCTCTCTCATCTCTCAGTGTACGTGTGTTGATCTTTCATAAAAGAGCCTCTCTTCATTGAAATTTTTAATAAAACATTAAAGCACAGGAGACATTTGGTGCGATCATTTAAAAATAACTTCTTGCATGACAGCCTCTCTATTTTCTCCCAGGGGAAGTGCTTCCCATACACAATTTGCATTTTACAGAACAGTTGGTTGTGTGAGCCTTCTGTCTCTGCAACGGAGTTCTAATTATGACAAAATGCAGGTAAATGGAGTTGCATCTTAAAGAGCTTTCTAATGGCTGGAGACTTTCGGCGTTCACCTCACACACTGATAACCTGAAAGAAGTTATCAGAAGCATCCAGTTTGGTAGAACCAAGTCCTAAAATACAGAAAAACTATGCCTTGTATTGAAGTTCTTGTGTTTGTAAAGATGAAAGATTTCCTGCAGTGCTTCTCAAACCTTATTGTGTAAACCGACTCTGACTCAGCCGGTGGGGCCAAGTGTCGAAGCTACGGCCATGCACAGAGCAGCAAGGTTCCATGGAGGTTTGGGGGGTCCTCAGGATGGAGGCTCAGGAGTACCTGGGGGTGACCTGCTCTTGTCTCTTCAGTGGCTTTTCTCCTCTCCCCACTCAATACCTCTCAACCTGTATCCTGGAACTGCCTCCCCAGGGAACAACTGGACTTGGAGGATACGCTGGTAAAGAGCCCAAAGGAGCCCACTGCCTGTGCTGCATAGCTGTGTTCACACATCTTTCTCCTGCATGAGCCCTGGGTCCTTTTGGAGAATGGGGTTCCTTTGTCCTGCCCAGAGACTGGCCCAGAACAAGTGCTTGGGTGAGCTGCTTGGTGCTCACTGAAGAGGCTGTGGCGGTATTATGGTTTGTGTCTGGAAGTCCCCAAAGTGTCATGCAGTCATGGGGCTGCTTTTCAGAGGTGGCTGAATCTAGAGTTTGTGATTGGTTCATTGTCTAGTGCTGGGATTATGGGTGTGAGTGCTGCACTCACCCTAGGGCAGGTAGCTTGCATACACTATAAGGGAAAGAAAGAGGCTTGCTCCTCCCTTTTGCCCTTTTGGCCCCTTTTGCTCTTGTTGCTTTTTCTGTCTTCCACTGCCACGATTGGTTGCTCCTCAGCCATGTGCCACCCTGCCTTGTAGCCAGCCGAGTATGGACTGAAACCTCCACAAACTGTGAGCTAAATAAACCTTTCCTTCCTTAATTCTGGGCATCAGGTATTTTGTCTCTGCAATGAAAGAAAAGTAACCAAGACAGGTGGCCTCAGATCTGTGTCTATGTGACTGAGCTGAAGATCATAAAGAACACGGAACCATCCTCCTCATGCTCATCCTGGGGCTGGGAGCTGCCATCTTTGTATTAGTGTGGTTTTTTGTACCTATAAAAAAAATACTGCAGGCAGGGTAAATTTATAGAGAAAAGAGGTTTGTTTAGTCCACAGACTGGAAGTCCAAGGGCATGATGCCAGCACTGGCTAGGCTCCGGCAGTGTCATGAAGGATGATGTCATAGCAGCAGGAAGACATGCTGGAAGAAGTGGTCACATCCTGAGACAGGACAGCAGAAAGCTGGGGTGTGTTGGCTTGCCCTGTTTATAATGATCATCTAGAAAGAACTGACTCAGGGTCTCCAAGAGCTGCCTCGGTCCCCATGAGTGTGGCATCCCCATGGCATTGTGTCACCAAGCCCTGCCTCCTAAAGAGAGCCCCCTACCACCACCTTGAGGACCAAGCCCAGGAGCCTGGGATGCCAAAGGTGATGCATGTGGGGGAAGTCCCAGCCAGGATGGAGGAGAGGAGGTGTCACTAAACCTCTGCCCACCCTCACTCCTGCCTTATAAAAGGCAGGGCAGCCTGGGGTGGAGGAGTGTGGGCCGACCCCCTGCTCTCTAGGGTCCTGTCCGAGCCCCGTGTTCACGGACTCACAGGTCTGCAGGCTGCACTACGTACTCCAGCCACTTCCACTTAGTTAACTGTGCCACCATCACACCGCTTCTGCACTGAGTTAGCCCAGAGTTCCTGGATGTGACCTCCCCTCCTTCCATCATTTCTCTGAACACAGCCCACACCGCAGCTATGACCCATCTTCTCTCTGAGTCATTACACAATGCTCTCGAGGGTCTCCTGTGTATGGAAGGTGACTGGATCATGGGGTGCCACTTGTCAGTGGATTCATACATTGATGGGTTCATGGCTGAATGTGCTGTCTACAAGGGTGTATGCTTGTTCCTGGCTCTTCCCTTCTCTTCTCTCTCCTCTCTCCTCTCTCCTCTCTCTTCTCTCCTCTCTCCTCTCTCCTCTCTCCTCTCTCCTCTCTCCTCTCCTCTCTCTTCTCTGTTTCTGCATCCTGGCTGCCATGTGGTGAGCAGCTTTCTTCTGCCACGCCATTCTGCAGTATGATTTCTTCCTCGGAGCCAGTCAGCCATGGACTAAACCTGCTGAAACCATGAGCCAAAATAACCTTCTCCTTTAAGCTGTGAGTGCCAGGCACTTTGTCCCAGCAGTAGGAAAGTGCCTAGGACACTTCCTTTCCTCCTTTGCCCATAGAAAGCTGGAACTTGGGAAGCACAGAGGTTAGAGCAGCACTTGTGGGATATAATGTGGCCAGTTGGAGGCAGATGAAAAGAAAGACTAGGCCTTCTATTTATGTTTACTTTTATAAAAAAGTAAGCTTTCCCAGTGTTAAAAAGGTATATGGATGAGAATACATATAAATCTATAAATAAATATACATATTAGGGAGATGCATTTTCAAATACTTTTTACTGATGGAATAAGCGGCTAAAAAGGGGCCAGATGTGGTGGCGCATGCCTGTAATCTCAGCACTCAGGAGGCTGAGGCAGGAGGATTGTTATGAGTTTGAGGTCAGTCTGGGCTACAAAGTGAGCACAAGACCAGCCTGAGCTGCATAGTGAGACCTGTCTCAAAAAGACAAAAAATAAAAAATAAGTGGATAAAAAGATTTGGAACTAGTTTACCTGTTAGAAAATCCAGCTAACTCTGATGACTCAAACACAGTCTCTAGCCCTGCCCCTCACCTCCCATCAAGCAGTGCTCTCTCTAGGGCTGGCATGGTGCTTACGGGACACACCGAGGGGCACAGGCGAAGTGACAAGCCAAAGAGCCCTGAGACGTGATAATCCAAAGATCCCTGACCTATTTGTATCGTTGGGGCTCCCTAGAGGAACAAATTTAATATTGTATAACATTATATTAAATATATTATCTTGGTGGAAGAAGACAAAATGGCTATATCCACACTAGCGAGCTGAAGGACGCAGATGAAGGTAAAACAAGGCCTGGAGCTCACTGCAGAGTCTGGTGCAAGTCATGCAGGGAAGCTGAAGAGTCCGTGATGGTGGCTGAAGAGTCCACACTGGAAGCCTGGAGGAACTGGAGATGAATGTCCAAGGCCAGTGGCAAAGCCTGATCTCCTCTGAAGAAGCCAAAGGGCAGACTTCCTTCCTCTTTCTTTTTTTGCTCCATCCAGGCTACAAGCCTATTGGTTAGCACCACCCACATCCGGGGCGGGTCTTCTCTCTGTTTGTGGCCTCCCTGTCAATCACCCACAGACACACCCAGAACCGTGCTCCACTACTCCACTACGAGTTTCCTGGTCCATTCAAACTGACACCACAGTGAACTACTGCACGACTGGTGGAGGAGGAAGGCCTGGGGTGTGTGTCACAGTCTTGCCTATCTTCTTTGCTCCCCCGACCCTGGCCCAGGAGGAGGATGTCTAGCTACAACCCCACTGTCTTAGCTGAAGTTCAGAAGGACAAGAGGTTGTTTTTACCTGGCTCAGGGCTTTCGCACAGTGTGGGGCCTCCACTCACGTTTCCTGGTGACTCCGTGACACAGGCTGGTGCTATCTTTCTGCCAGCAGAGGTGAAAGCCAATGGAGTGGTGAGGCCAGGCAGCGGGGCACCAGCACCACCCACCCTGTGTCCATGGTGCCCAAGGCCAGCTGCTCAGGCAGCGGCTCACAAGCTCGGCGGCATCTGCCTGCGCAGGAAGAGCAGCTGAACACCGCACATCTGTGAGGCCCGGAGCCTCCATGAGCCCACGGCGTCCACACTGCTGTCCTCGGGGCCACTCAGCCAGCCCCGGCTCTTCCCAGAAGCCTTCAGGCCATGCTCGCTCAGGAGGCTGAGGGGACAGGACTAAGCTAGCGGCTCCCAGCTGCGCGCGGCCACGTGGCAAGGAGCAAAGCCGGCCCAGAGCCGTGCTGCGCCGTCACCACGGAGCACGAGTTGTGGGATGACGGGCGACAGTGCGAGTGGCTGCACCCTCCTTCACCAAGCACGGTGGCGACTTCTCAGTAGAAGACAGAATCGCTCTGTAGACAGCAGTGGTGGGGAACGTTTTCCCTGCAGTGCCGTCTTCCCCGTGCCCTGGCCGGCTCCCGACAGGGGCAAGGGTGTGCACTCTCGGAGCCCGTCCCTTCTCACCCGTCCTTCCCTACCATTTCATGACAGTCTGGGAAGTCGGGAAGAAGACCCAAAGCCCTGATGTGTGTGGGCTGCTCCTAACAGGGACTCAGCTGTGGACGTGCTCTGTGCTAAGCATCTGCATCCGAGTGGGGCTGGAGTCACTGCAGAACCGCCTGCTGACAAATGGGGTCTTGTGTCTTCAGGGCTCGCTGTCACGGTGTTCCCTGTGTCCCTTCCTCCTTTTAACTCTGGGCCGCAGAAATGCTGGGCACCTGAGCTTGCAGCTTCTGTTGGTGTCACGTGGCCGGACGTCAGTGTGGTGCCTGGCATCTGCTCACGCGTCTGAGGATTACAGAGGAAGTCATTGTGTCAGACTCTGCTGGTTTAACCTCGGCTCTGCCCCTGACTGTGGGCGACGGATCCTGGCCAGGGCTAGAAGGCACCGACACATGGCTGGAAGCGGCTCCTAGCACTGTCGGGCTGGGCTGGTGCCCCATGGGCAGTCCAGTGACTTCCCCTGGCAGGGCCCAGGGTCACACAGCACTCAAGGCAGGGCCTTTCTCAACTCTGCGCCTTCCCACTTTACTCTCCACCCTGGGAATGATGCTCCAACACTGAAAATCCTGCTGGTCCTCTGAGAATGCTCAGCTCAAATGCCACACCCTCCCGGCGCGTGTCTGACCCTCAGCCTGGGAGGGACCCGGCACAAGCAGAAGGAGCAGGGCACTGAGGGCAGGCTCCACGCCACTCAAAACCTGGGCTCAGAGCCCTGATTCTGTTGCCTAGGAAGCCCAAAGCCTCCACGCAGCGCCGGGCTCTGGGTGTGCCCTGGCCCCTCCTTGGCTGCCTCCTCGTGCATTCGCCCAGAGATGCCCCTACACCGGCAGACTTCCAGGGACCTGCGGCGTCACGTCCACCTGCTCCATGAGCCATTTGTCACCGCCACGCGGGGAGTTCTGCTTGCATTCATCACAGGGTATTGCCGAGGCACAGGTCTAAGTGGCTCCAGGGCGCACTGTCACCGATCTGTGACTAGTAGTAAGCCACCAAAAAGTTCAGGAGGGGTTCGTTATTTTTTAATCACTCTTACTTTTTAAGTGTGAGAATATGTTACAGAAGGGCAAGAAATAATTTGAATAGAATGCTAGGGAAGCTTCCTATTGAGTCCTGCAGAAGTCAAGACAGCTTAGACTGGAAGCTTAGAGAAAGGAGGACTTCAGTGAAGCCAAGAGGGAAAATGGGGCTTGGGGTTTGTTTGCTTCCTTGGTGAGAAGGGCGGAGGAGTGGAGGATGGCTCCGCTCTGCAGTGTAGCGGGAAGACACTGTCTATCTGCTGAGCTGGGGGACGACTGGGTGGAGGAGCTCCCTTCTGGGGTGTCCGGTCTGAGATGCCAAGCAAGGGAGAGTCTGAGAGGCCAGTGGGTTTGCAGGAGGAGACACTGGGCCGGGTCAGAGATCTGAGAGCGGGAAGCGTGGTGGAGCTGGAAGGGGCACAGTGGGTAAGGTCGCTGAGGAGGACAGAAGGTAAAGGCTTGAGGGCCCCAGACCCTTGGAACTGCATCAGCAGAGAAAGAGCAGTCAGAGAGGGCAAAGAAAAACCATGAGAGTGGTGTCTCGGGAAGCAAGGGAGCACAAGACAGAGAAGTGAGTGAGGAGCTGCAGCGTGCAGGCTGGAGACCCCGAGGCCGAGACCGTGCCTGGCGTCCACCCACCAACGCAGAGACGAGCTCCATGCTGAGCAGCATCCCAGTGGAACATCAGCCGGGTGGGCCGCAGCATGGGGGGGAGGGTTCACCTGGGAAGTGTGAGACCCTGGGTCAGCCCCCACTCCTGCCCACGCACACACGTGTGACACACACACACACGGTCACACTGAGTTTAATGTGCATGGAACCGATTTAGGGAAGAGTAGTACTTTCCTTTGCAAACCTTGTTCAAAGTGTTGCTGGAGCAGATGTCGAGATTTCTGCGCTGCTTACTCCGCTCCTGCAAAGACATCCGGAGGCCTCACCCCAAGTGACTGACAGAGGACTCGGGCCGGCTGTGCCCCCTTGCCTCTCGGTACCAAGCACCCCTGCAGTGTGGGGACCGAGTCCACGGCTAACAGTTCATATTTTCACAACAGGTTAGCTCACGCGTGAAGACAAAGCTCATTCCATCTGTTTTTGCTGCTAATGGGTCAACGATTTTCCCACAGCTAATTATGGCCATTTCATAGAAAATAACGTGTTTACTCTGAAATGCCAGACTTGGTTCTTGTGACTGAGCAGTTCTGACAGGTGCACATCGGCCTACGAGGGTGAGGGTCTTCACTCTATCATCTCCAGGAAAAGCCCGAGAAACCCCTCCTCGAGGTTACCGTGGGAAGTGTTACTGAGGGCCTTGTCATCCTCCTCCCTGGGGTCTTGCATCTCTCTTGGAATTATAATCCAAGAAACAATGGCGTTGCCCTCCAATCTCACTGCTATTGTTGGCAGCTCTGAAAATTCTCGTTTCTCCTAAGAGTGTTATTAAAAGATATTGAAAGGGAATTAGCCGGAGTTACCTGTCCTACCCTTCCTCCACTCCTGCCCACTTTTTAAGGCTGAACGGCTTGATTTACATGCTTGTCCTCCTTTGCTTCCTTCCTCAGAGATGGGCTACACACAGCTCTCCTCCCCTCTTCCTTTATATTTCTTTAACCCAGAGGCATGTTCTAAGGCACAGTCTTTCTCCTGGCTTTTCATTTTTGTTTTTTTGTTGTTGTTTTTCTTCCAGTACCAGGAATCAAACTCATGACCTTGCGCTTGCCAGGCAGGCGCCATGCAGCTGAGCTAAATCCCCAGCCCCTCTCCTGGCTTTTCAAAACCAGCATAACTGAGCAGGCAGTGACCTGAGACTTGCCTGCTCTGAAAAATTCTCTGAAATCATTACCTGCTCTGCCCCTCCTCTAACCCATGATACCAGTGAGCACAACCAGAGGTCATCATACTGGCTCAGTGGTCCTCTGCTGGTGCCTGCCTCGCCTGAAGCAGTCTCCGGGACACACACTCGGTCCCCCAGCTCCCCCGGCCACCGTTGCCACCCCCTCCTGTTCCTGCACTGGCACAAGCTGAGCAGGGAGGGGCCACAAAGGAGAGGAGACAGCGTGACGCACAAGGTGGAGGAAACAGGAAGCCAGGACAAAGGAGGCCTGCGCGCTGTCCAGCACCATGGAGAGGGGCACGGAGATGCCGCCCGCTGGGCAGGAACAGCCTGCATTAGCGGGTAGCCAAGGAGGTGGAGCCGTCCCCAGGAGAGGTGGGTCACTGCCAATGGAGCCAGGGACTGCAGACATCTTCCAAGAGGCGAGAAAGACAGTCCTGGAAAGAAAGGAACCTAAGTTCAAAGGAAGTTTTCGCTTTTGTTTTTTAAGATGGAAGACTCTAGAAAATATTTGCATTCTGAGGAACTTCCACAGAGAGGGGTACTGCAGATGGGACAGGTGGGTGCTCCGGGAGCCCCTTCCTTGAGAGGCCAGGAGGGAGCACGGATGCCTATCCCTCGTGGCCACTGGAGGGGAGAAAGGGGAGAGATGGCAACCATGCTGGGGCCTGCCTGCGGGTTTCCACTTCCTAAAGAAAGGACGCTAGGAACAAACCCGGAGGGGCTGGGTTTTGCACACATAGGCGGGGAATGGGTGAAGCCCACCCTGGGACTGTGGGGGGAGCGTGGTTCCAGCTGCCCTGGGGGACATTTGGTGCTGAATTAGGAGGAGGTGAAAGGATGACAGAATTGTGTGTTGCACACTTGGCCCTGATCTAACACATGGAGCACACTCAGATAGTGAAGCTGTCGCTACTTCTCCGCTGTTGGCGCCAGTGAGATCCAGTCCTGTCAAGAAAGAACCTGAACCATGAGCGGAGTTGTTCCACCTACTTTGTAAGTCCATTAAGTACAGAAATTGTTTTCACTAAGATCAAATTAAGTTCAAGACTCTTGGGAAGGCAGACGCAGTGGCCTCAGAAAGTGCCAGAACAGGGCATGCCCGGCCTGAATCAGAAGTGTGTGAGGACGCACCCCACATGTGTGGCACCCCTGGGTCTCAGGGTGCAGCTCGCAGGCTTCGGCAGCCCTGCTGCGAGAGGGCTGCTCAGGGGCCGCTGAGCCCATGAGCGGGAGAGGATCTGCAGCATAGATCCAGGACCCACAGCTTGGCCAGAGGAGCAACGGATCCATGAAGAAGCTGTGCTAAAGTGAGCTAAGAGGCTCTCCAGGGGCTGTGGCTGCACTGAGAAGATCAGCACAAACGCAAGCTCGGAAAGGTCACCGCTGCGTCCCTGAAGTTAGAGACAACCTCTGTCGTGCCACCCAGACACTGCACGAGACAAAGGAGCACCCCGAACCGCAGCGCGGACCCAGGCCCTTTCCCACTGGGACAAAGTGTGAGAACAGGTAGAACCAGGTAAGCAAGTAAAATCAACTGCTTCACCTCGCATCTGTTGAGATGCCCACTGTGAATCTGTGTTGGGCGGGGGGACAGTGGGATGGATCTTTTCACCATTTGGCGGCATTTCCCATCCTACTTAGAAAAGTTAGTCTCAGCCAAATGACACTATGTGACTTCTCAAATCCATATTGTCACGCCCCATGCCTGAGAGCTTTTTTATTCGTTCATGCTGGTTGTGCAGCCATCCAGGCCCCCATTCCTCGGACAGGCTGCCACCAGGGCCACTGTGCTGCCCGCACCTCACCCCCAGTCCCTCACCTCAGGCTGATGACGTCCCCAAAACATACTCGGCAAGACCAGGTCTCAAAGGGGCGAGGGGCATGGGCTACAGAAATGTTTCTCTGCTGGGCTGGTGTGGCCCACGGTGGGGTCTCTGGGTATCTGAGCAACTCTGTGCACCGCTTCGATAAAGGATGGGTGAACCTTAGGTCACTGTGCTGCGGGATAGACCTAGATGTCCCCCAGAGCCTTAGTGCGTGCTCTGCGGACCATGGACTGAAGCTTCTGAACCGTGAGCCAAAGTAAACTTTTCCTTTAAGCAGCAGGCGTGGGTTCTTTGACCTAGTGCAGAGAAAAGTGAGTAAGACACGCTGCTGTCGAACAGTGTCTGGAAAATTAGCAGCATAGGCTCAAAAGCCTAACTTTGCAGAGTAGTGACGGAGCTCGGGCGATCCCACACCTGAGCACTCACCTTTAGCTTTGGTTCAGGAATGGTCTTGGAGCCTGAAGGAGCAGCCAGGGGGGAGAGGGTGGGTGAAAGCTACTTCCCCGCCCTGCCAGCACGCAGCAGGTGACTCACACGAGAGTCACCAGGCCGGTGGACTGTCAGCATCCCAGCACTTGCAAATCACAGACAGCCACAGGTGATGATTTGATTTGAGACTTTTAAACATGTGTTTCAGGGACCCCCTGTGTTTCACATTCAGAGTCAAGGTCGTTGTTTGCAAGGCCAGTAATAAAGAATGCTAACTAAGCAGTAATAAGCAAAGTGAGACTTGAGCAAGCCTTTCCTCCACCTCTCCCGTCGGGCACTGCTGTCAGTGGTGTCACTGCGCGGTGCGATGAGCCCGGATAACGAGAGGGTGTCTGCCGGGCTGTGTGGCCTTGGAAGTCGGAGGACGCGGTACAGCTGCTCTGCGTCTGGTGTCTTCCCACAGCCCTCGGGTGCTGGCTCGAACCTCCCGGCACGCATGGGACGCATGAACCAGGCCCCCTCAGGCAGCCCCGCTGCCCACCTCCTTCCAGGTGAACTTCCACAGCACCCAGCACCCAGAGGAGCCGCAGCCTCAACACGCGCACTGGCTTCCTGCACCTTCCACACAGCCCGTCCAGGCCCCCTGGTCTCTGTCGTCAACAGGAAATGACAGCACTAGACGTGGAAGGACACATAGCACACGAAACCGGGTTCGTACCATTTTAACCTCCTTAGATACAACTGACCGTCGTGAACCCAGTAGGAACGGGGCTGTGTAAAAGTAAATCCTCTGACAAAATGCCACATGCACCGAGGGAAGACACAGCCCCGACCCGTCCCATGGACAGACACCGCTGGGCTCCAGGCACATTGCGGAGACATCCCAAGACTCCCTCGTGAGGAACTGACCTCTTCCCATTCTCTCCAGAAGCCTGAGCCGCTTTGCTGAGCACCCCTGAGAGTGAGACACCTCGGTCGGCATGTCCTCCCTTCAGGGTTTCGTTTCTACTACTAGAGACGCGTTCCAAAGCGAGTGCAGCACCTTCTGAACTTACAGACGCGAGGGCCTGCTCCACACCCACGGGGGCCGTTTCCAGGGAGGAACGAGAGGCCTGAAGGTGCCACCTCCGGCTCAACCGCGATCACAGTCAAGACTGCCAGCAGCCCCGGCTTCACTTGTCATAAAACCCTGCAATGACAATAGCCACACATGTCTCAATGCGTTTCAAAAAGAAAGACCTAATGAGTTTGACTCAAACAGATGTGACTCCAACAACATCTACATTTAAACGGGAAGTCGCACAGATTGCCAGGAATGGACCTGGTAACGTCAAGGTTGTGCCTCGCTGGAGAACACATCATTTAGCTCTGGGGGGAAATGTGCCGTCCCGAGTGCAGGGATGTGCCAGCAGGAGGAGGAAGGAGCGAGGGGCCTCGCTCAGGTGACTCACACTGCGCGGCCCTCTCCTCTCTCACGGTGGAAATCATAGAAATATTTGGTAATAAAGGAGTTTTATTTGTGCTCTTTATTCTGAATCTACCCCTCCTGGACCGTTCCAAGATAATTAGGTTGCATAAAATGATGGCCACCATTACAAGAAAAATTTTATTAGAATGAACCAAAGAGACTACAATGAACTTTCACAAGTACAATGGTGCCCAGGAAATGGAAGAGGAAATGCCGTGTATATCCACAGGACAACGTGCCTGCTCTAGGAACCTGCCCCACCTCGCATCAGAATCACTTCCGAGCGCGCTCATCACATAACTCCTGGGAAAGACTTTAAGTAAATAATGCTTCCTCTCCTGTGCAAGCCCTGGACCGAGTGCTCCGGACACCTGCTCCAACGCAGTCGTTACAAAACCAGGAGTTAAGGGGGCCCTTTCCCAGAAAACTGAGGCCGGAAGATCTCACTGCTATTGATGGCTGGATGAGCACAGATACCAGACTCAAGTCTTGGGCCCAGAGGTTTAAACTCTGCACCATAAATGAGCCCGTGGGCCCAAGTATATTAAAGCCATACATAGGACCATTAGCCAGCACTGCTCCAGAAGTCTACAGGGAGACAACATCTCAAGGGTCAGTGGCAAAGGAAAGGAAAGTATCACTTCTCCAGGCCACGTCTGTGCCTGGAACCCCAGGCAGAGCTGTTAGGAAAGCTGGGCTGCAGCCTGAAGCTGAGGACTGGGGGCCACCAGGGCCGGGTCCCCGTCCAGCCCCAACTAAATGCACAGGGCCAAGGAGCAAATGCAGGAGGAGCCTGGTGAGGTCAGGTAGCCGAGAAGAGGACCGTGGAACAGGACATCTGTGTGCACGGGACACTTGTCCACTGGTGACCACAGCCACACAGACCTCCAGACAGGCACCACAGCCGCTGGGGAGAGGCCATCCCATGGCTGCTCAGCCTCTGCATGTTAGGGTGCAAGGCTGCGCCCTCTCTCACCCTGGTCTTTTCTCAGGGTTGTGTTTGCAGGGAGCAAAGGCAGGGACAAGGCACCATCTCCCTCCAGACAAGACCTATTGCTCAGAATAAAAGCAGCTGCCTCCGCCAGCACATTTCCTTCCTGTACACAACCCATGGTATGTGCAGGTGGCTGGCCAGGCCCTGAACGCCGCCACTCATGACTTGAGGGCCGGGAAAACAGCTCAGAGTACTAAACTCTGGCAACTGCTTTTGCTATGTGTAACAAGTCTCTTGTCTCCAACTTGGAATCTCGCGTCTTCTGTCAACATCCGTGGAGCTGTAGGAGCTTCCAACCAGGGGAAAATGTCAGATTCTCCACAGTCCTTGCTAGAATGGTAGGATGCAAGGGAAGAATTCTGCCTTCCTTGAGATTAAACTATGAGTGGATGGCCATGGATACACATTCCTGTCTGACTGAGGCCACTCCTGGACAGTTAGAACCTCAGGGAAATTTCCTCCGATTTCTTGAACCAACTCCATCATGACTTCAACTCCCAGATCCCTGAAATTTCTTATCTATTTGCTTTATGATTACATGTTGGCTTGGTTTAACTCTTCTTTAAGATTCATAAGCTCTCTGAAAGTAAGAAAAAAATATCGACTCATTAACACATGCATAAATTTTGACTCTGTGCAACATACCAGTGTGTGGACACTCTGCATATAATAGGCTAATCGCCTACTTGCTGCCATGATTTGAATGTGCGCCCAGAAACTCACGTGTCAGAAACGTGCTCCCCAATACAACAGTGTTGGGATGCAGGGCCAATGGCCTCTGCCCTCTGTCAGTGCTGTTATAAATGGGGTCTAAGTTGCTTCACTTCTCATCACTGGACGCAATAACCAACACTCACAATTCAGAGGAGAAGTGTACTCTGGCTCACGGTTTCAGGAATCTCAGCAGGTTCAGAAATAGAAACAGTATGGAGGAAGGGACCAGCAGAGGAGGAGAGCTGGTCACATTATGGTGGACAGGAAGCAGAGAGAGGAGGGGAACCGGGAGGACCACACCTGGAGAGGTCGCAGCAGTGACCACCGCCAACCAGGCCCTGTGCCTATCAGCAAGCAGCTATCAACTCATCACCGGGGGGGTAGCTCATGGCCCAATCACGCTCTAAACACAAGGCTTGGGGGCACCCCAGATCTAACCACAGCAAACAGCGAGTGCCTCTTTGCCCCCGACTCTGCTGTGTGGTGAAGTTTTCACCCCTCTGAAGGATGGAGCCCCCAAGACACCATCTTGGATGTGAATTTCCAAACTTGCCCGTACCCTGACCTCAGACTTCCAGTCTCCTGGACTGTGAGCTATTGACTTGTGTTCTGTATATATCATCCAGTCCCAGGCATTCTGTCATAGCCTATAAGCAGACAGACACAATCATCAGCACTGTCAATATTTTTAATAAAATGCCTTTGTTGTCTCCTTTTTTTTTTTGGAGACAAGGAGTCACTCTGGACTTCATGGCAATCCTCCTGCCTCAGCTTCCTGAGTGCTGGGATTACAGGCATGTGCCACCATGCCAGCTCTAATTATCTTTCTACACAGCATCCACTTACCCCCTGTTGATGTCCAATGGGCAAGATTGCTTGAGCCCAGGAGTTGGAGGCCAACCTCAGCAACACAGAGGACAGTGTCTCAGAAAATACAAACAAAAGAGGAAGAAGAAAGAGGGCCGGGGTAATGACCTTCTCTTCTGCACACCTTCTGATCCTATGTAATTCTACAGCAACTGACCAGTATTTTGGACAAACAGCAACAGAGCTCTGTGTCTGAGTCACATGAGTGGTCTACCGCAGCCAACAAGCTCTGCAGGAAATGTAACCTGAAACTCCTGCTGCTTAGCCCTCCCAGAACATTGAGGAGTGGGAATTACAACTTATGACGCTTGGTGTGAGCCCAGCACACTTGTTCCTGGGATTTCTCTTTGTATTTGGTCTCCTGGAAGCATGGCCCTCCCTGGGGTCCCTTGGGAATGGTGATTTCCCACTTCGTTGACAGGGCCGAGACCCTGGAGCCCTCCTAGAGGGGAATGCAGGAGTGTCCCAAAAAGACTGGAGGAGTCACCCTGCCTACTGTGTGAGCATCCCCTCCACTCACAGTGTGTTCCCGTCTTCTTACCCGAGACAAGCAGGGCGGGGAGGTGGGGGGCTTCTTCAGGGAGCACACCTAGGACAGGCTTCCTGACCTGGTTTTAGAGAGAGAGTCTTAAGCCTTCAGATACATGGAGGGGAAAACTCTCCGGGCCTACCACAGTCCAACACAGTTCAGTGTACACACCTATATTTCCAACGCCTAGGAGGCTGATGCAGGAGGATTCAAGCTCAGCAAACCCGTCTTAAGAAAACCAAAACAAAACGAACAAAAAAGATGGAATTAGTGAACAAGAGATTTACAGGGGGAAACACCATGAGGAAGAAAGGAGCCGAAGCAGTGACCCTGTGAAGGACAGGGGGAAGCAGAGCTGACAAAGAGCCGTCCTAGACTTTAGTACGAATGTGAGAAAGTTCCGACAGGGAGCTGTGAGCCTGAGCCAGTGCACCCAGCAGAGGAGGGGCTCCACACCACAGCAGCTGTCTCCCTTGGGGCTCACGGGACCAGCAGGCAGCTTGAGGGACAAAGGCCTGGGGTCCTGGCCACAGCACACCTTCGCACCAGCAGACAGAAGCAGCTGCATAAAGCCCACCACTGTGAGATGCTGTCCTTTGTCACAATCCCCGTCACCAGGGCCACGGGGGGGGCAGCTCCTGTAGCCCTGGGCAAAGCTCCTCCTGCTGGGCAGTTTTCCGCACCTGGAGCCCAAGGGTTTTGCCAGCCACGTGCCCTCCGTCTCACTACTGGATGCTGAGTCAGATTTGGGGCCTACTGTGGGAGCCTCTTTCAACTATAATCTTCCCTGATTCCTTCAGTCAGTACCATTGTTCCCAGTTACCGAAACTCCTTCCGAAATACAATGAGAAATAATCACTGTAACCTATCATGGCACCATTTAGAATTAAATATACTAGATTTTTGATCTCCTTCTCCTTCTCCTTCTCCCTCTCCCTCTCCCTCCCTCTCCCTTATGGTACTAAGGATTGAATGCTACATTCCCAGTCCCTTTTCTATTTGGACACAAGGTCTCACTAATTTACTAAATTGCCCAGGCTGGGCTTGAACTTCTGATCCTCCTGCTTCGGCCTCCCAGCGTGTGTTACAGGCCTGTGCCACTGTGCCTGGCTTTCAGTTTCTTTTTATGATAACTTCCCATTTGGGTGAAACTCATTCCCTGGAAACCAACAGTCTAATGAAAACAGTTTGAACTACTCATGACTTTTAACTTTCTAATGGCTATGCTTAAAAAGTAAAAAGTCAGGGAAATTAAGACCAGCCAAGTCTGTGGAGGTCCAGTGTGTGTTTTATGGTCCAGCACATCTCAGTTTGAGCCTGCTGCACTGAGAGGCCTCAGAGGCCCCGGGATCAGCAGCCCTGCGACAGGGACCTCTGGTCTAACATGAAGGCTGACCAGAGTTGGAAGAGCCTGCAGTAATCATGCCTGCTTCCACCCTGCATTCACACTCGTTTCATTAAAGGTTCGTGAACACCGGCCAGCTTCTGACACAATACCCTAAAAGAGGGTGAGTTTTCCCAAAGAGAGGTAACGACCACTAAACCGTGAAAGTCCTGGATTTTTTCTCTTCTCCTCTCCTTTGCCAGACCACCCCCGGCTCCTTCTGAGAAACAATAACTACAAAATGGTTGTGTACAGCCAGTAGGAAAGCATTTTGTCCATTTCTCATTCAGCGTAGTAAAAGTTACTTAGAAATTGGTGGCTGCAATATTAAATTAGAGTATAAAAGTAAAGTACTAAAAATCACTTGAAGGCACACCCATGGAAGTGTTTAGATTCTCCTTGCCTGGAACTAGCTCTGGAGCTTTACACCTTTGGGCAAAGGAAGTTTGTTTTGTTTTGTTTTGAATCAGGACTAGAAGACCAAAAATACAGATTTCTGAGAGTTAAGAGTTTGATTTTTAGGCAAATTATTGAAACTGCAAAAGCCTTGATTTTTACCTGTCACACAGCAGGGAGGAAGGGAGCAGAGGCTCTCATGGGGTAGTCACAAAGCTTAACCACACTGCGGGAGGCAAAGAGGAAGCACTCTGTAAATGGTGCCCGTCGCATCATTAACACAGAGGCAACTGTTGTCAGGTATTCTTAAGTTTGTGGTCTGCAAACCCTCGGTCCGCGGATAAAACTACAACTGGATGGAGGAAGAGATGGACCCACACTTTTATCAACTTCTAAGCAAAATCTCGCTCCTCCTTCCACTGTGAATGTAGCACACTTGCACGAGAGGGACCGGTCCCTTCGCACCAGCAGAGGCCACAGCACTTTCCTGTTATAGCTCTGATGTCACAGACATCCCAAGGTATCTGCACGTCCACTGCCTCTTTGAGCTGACAGCAGCCACCTGACCAGTGCTAGATGTCAGCTCATCACTACAGAAGCACATAAAAGTGCTCCAGGTCGTATTTTAATTTCTGCATAAGTGGTTTCCTTTGCGGTACTCTGGGTTTTATTTTTTTACTTATTCTGAAAGCGTCCACGGCTTCACACGGCTACCCTACACGGGAGGTTAAGACCCATCCATCTTCACCCATCTATTGGACCCTGGCCTGCTGGGCTGTGTAGACAGAAGACACGGTGGCCTGGGCCTCGCCACTGGTGTCCCGCATCCCCTAGCCCCGTTTAATCCCTGCCCCCGTGTCCACCCCCTATGCCATGTTCAGCCACTGCCCCATGTCCACCCCTCCCGTGTCCACCTCCTGTGCCCCATGTCCAGCGCCCACCCCGTCTCCAAGGCTGTCCCGCGTCCAGTGCCTGTGTCTGTGACCAGCAGCTGTCCCCGTGTCCACCCCTTCCCGCTTCGTCCAGGTCCTGTCCCCCGTGTCCAGCCCCTGCCATCCGTGGCCAACCTCGTTTCCACCCTGTATCCGTGGGGCTGCTGAGCCGAGAAGCTGCCAACGCCGAGGTCAGCGGGCAGAGTCCCGCGGGGGCGCTCGACCCGCCCCCACCACGCCAGTCTGGGGGCGCGCGCCC